AGTCTTTGCATGTATGCCCACAGTGTTCATGTGCTTCAAGCTTTTGAGGTAGTCTTTGACATCCCAGGCTGCGAGAATTATGAAATTTGGGGGAAGTTGGGGATAGCTGAAGAGGCAAAACTAAAATGAACCATGAGGTCAGAACTAAACATAAAATTACCATGAAAAGTAAAATTAGACTCTTTGAAGACCTTGTAAATACTAAGTCTCAAGAGAATGAAAGAAGTTGGTGCCCCCCTTTTTCTTTCCCTCAATATGCATGGAAGCCCTTTCCCCCCACATTGTTTCTTGCTGTAATGCAAAACCACTTTTCGGGAAAGAGGACTTATCACAGACAGAGGCAAGAGGAAAGAAAGGAGAGAGAATCTGTGGGGTAATTTTGACCATCTAGGCCAAAAATAGGTGAGACACTACCTAGTAGGAATAGAATTAGATGACAATTTCTGTGTCATCTAATGAAAGCTCAGCCCTTTGTATAAACAACTACATGTAGTCCACTGCTTGTTATAATAGCATTTTGCAGCAGAGGGCAGACTTTACATTGAAATAGATATAAAGAGGCCTTCAACCAAGATGTTTTTTCGTTTGAAAAAATTTTTTAACTTCAATATTTTTGGTTTCTAAATGATTTAAAGATATTTTAAAGTATGTAAGGTCTAGGGTATATTAAATATGAAATTTCTTGGATTTCAGTTAATATCTCTGCCTCATTAGCAAAATATTCAAGATGTGATTGCAAAATTAGACAGTTTTTTCCACGGCTTATGGACTGGTCTCAGACACTGTCACTGTAAGCAAAGCTGTTCTTTTTGTGTGTTGATAACAAACTTACTACAGAAAACCCTATCTCTTAACTGAATGGTTATAATTTTCTTTCATTTCAATAGAGTTTAATATGAATAACTGCTTTTCTCTAACAGTTAGAAATTAACACCCTTTTCTAATTTATTTCATAGCTAGTTTTGCTATTTTTCCCCTAGAGAAAATGACACCTATACAAAAGTTAACTAAACTTAGTATACAGTTTAACTCCAATACTCAAAGCCCCTTTAAACATCAACTTCATGAAAATTTAAGATTTGTTTTTCTTCTGGATTCATTTCCTGATCTAACAGAATCGTGTTCACAATAAATGAGAAATAGAAACTACTATTTATATTGAAAAAAAAAAAAAGAGGTTAAGTCACTTGTTAGCAGTGACTGAATTCAGATCTTAAGACTGATCCAGTGGATTCCAAAGCTTATATTCTTTTCATGGCAATGCCTTTTCTCGTGTGTCTTAAAATCATAGACACATGACTTTATTCATTAGGACTTAAATCTATATTGACAACTTTGAGAAGTACATAAAACAAGATAATCTTAAATAAATCAATAGCAGGAATTCTGGGCATATAAACTCAGTAGGTTGGTTTAATTTTGACATTATGTAAGTACTTCATCTCACTTTTTGGTGTGTGTGTATGTAATGTGATTTTTAGAGTGAATGCAGGAGGAAGATCTCTGGGGAAGGCATTCTCAGTGTTATAAGAGCTACAATATATTTTATTATTACATTTATTTCCTTTAGTACTTCTATGAGGATATTTCAAAAAGTTTGTGTAAAAACAGAGTGAAAACATAATACAAATCCTTCCATGAACTTTTTGAAGACCCCTCATATTTCTATAAAAGCATAAAAATATATAAGAATTCATAAGAATTTGCTGCCTAGGAAACAAAATTATTTTTGCGTGGAGAAGCGAGAGATTTATATACCCTAAAAATGACAGAGAAATAGAGCTCTATATATTCACTTTTGCTTTCATAATAATCTCTACCAGAATTATTGCAATTAATTTTGTGCAATGAGAACAGAAGTGTTCCTTTCTTATTTGTGCACAGAAAAAAGTTTAAAAATAAGTGTGGATGCTTAAATGTAAAGTTAATCAAAGTCTATCAATGAAATCAGAGATGTTAGCAAAATAAAATCATGTTATCTTTTTTTCTAGGAAAATAAGCTCTGTTTCAAAATTGATAGAAAATTTGACATTGCAACGAAAATGTCTGTTGCTGTTCAAAACAACGGCTTTCGTTTCACTTAACATTATGGACATGGGATTGTTTGCTTATTTACAAAGCTTCATATGCATCACCAGCCATGCTTAATGTTGGGTGAAAGGCACTGGAACACTGGACTTGGGTTCATAAAATGGGGATTCTGCCCCATTCTAGCTGTGTGATCTGGATAAACCATTTAACCTCTCTGAGCCTTGGTTTCTCACTTATAAAATTGAGGTGATAATGGGCATGTACTACATAAGATTTTGAGAATTTAAAATGTAATTTACATTACATCTGTGAAAACTCTGAGCTCAGTGTCTTCCTGACACATTGCAGATTTGTTTGTTAAATCAAAATAATCCAGATAATTGCTTAATAATATCCTATTTTTGGTAATTACTTTTTAAATATTCATAAATTATTTGTGCACATTGTATAAATAGCTTCCCCAAAACTCATGTATGTTAGAACAAAGCTTGGCGACAATCTTGACTTTTGATATATATGGAGCAGGTTTAAGATTATGGCTTAACTGCCAGTGATAAGAAAATGAAATGAAAATCAAATATAATTTCCATTTTTATTGTACTTAATGTAAGTACAATGACTTAATGTTAGTAACAATGACACAATGTTAGATTTTAGATAATATTTGTTAATATTTGTCAGTAATTTTGGTATTCTCTTCAGTTCTCATTACTACATTTAAAGCAACAAATGAAAAGCCTGTCAAAATTCACTTTTTTGCCTCTAAAATCTTGACCTATATTTCTAGATCTAGAATTATCCTTGCAATGACATTTTCCCCATCTCATTTTACACCTTGCCTTTTCCTTATAAATCGTATTCTTTTTTCATCAGTACATCTGCCCAAAACGCTCTTCTACTTGACAGTTCTATCCCACACTCGCCTCTAAGCTTCTAACAAGACATACCTCTGGGAATTGCAAAGTGCCATATTTAAAATCTCTCAGTGAGATATACGGGTTTTCCCCTGTGATCAAAAGGGATTCCTCAAATCTGAGTTTTAGAGCTAATCTACGACAACTGATAAGCACAGTATTTTCACATTAGTATATTTATGTTGTGCTAATATACTTAAACAGTATGGATGTCCATTGAGAATTTTTCTACAAATGTCTTATCAGCTTTAACTTTTAAGAAAGATGCCTTACATATTTGATTGGTGTTGGCTGTAACTCCATTATATCTCCCAAGCTAAATAGGCTCATCCAAATTAGAAGGGAGATGTCATAGATTTCACAAACATATTCTCAATGGAATACTAGTCAGCAATAAAAAGGAACAAATTACTGATACACACAACAACACCAATGAATCTCAAATGTCTTATGCTAAGTTAAAGATGCCAGACATAAATGAGTGCATAAATTGCATGAATCCATTTATATGGCATTCTGGAAAAGTCAAAACTATAGGGACAGGAACCAGATCAGTGATTGCCGGGGGATAACAGAAAGGCATTGACTAAAGAGGTTTGAACAGATTTTCTGAGTGGTGGAAATAATCTTAATTGTGATGGTGGTTACAGAACTGTATACATTTGTCACACTCCTCAAATTACATACCTGAAAAGAGTGATTTTTACTGTATGTAAATTACACCTCGATACATCTAACTTAATTAATTAACTGGTCAAAGAAAAAGAAGATACTTGCATTTTTGAGGAGTTATATATCATTTCTTTCCAGAGAAGTTTTATTAATAACATACTATATGTCTGTTTTTTTACCCATTTCTATTTCCAGCCTTAAACATGTAACTCTCAGCCTAGTTTTAAACAGCTGAAGGCTCCTTTAATATAATTTATTATTGCATTGGGGAGCTTTAGGATGAAATAATAATCTAACAAGTATAAATATTATGAAATATTATTAAGTGTAAGACGAACATTATTAAATGGTGCTCCTGCCCTAGTAATATGCTAACTTCTTGATTTTTATTTCATCTTCTAATCACCAGCAATTAAGCTACTGTGCCAAAAGCTTATTGTACCTAATATTACTTAATGGTTATCAAATTCTGTGAGATAAGTGGTATTAACCCCATTTTAAATAAGGGGAACTTAGGCTCAGAGCAAAGTCAAAGGCAAATTTCACGTCTTTCTGATTCCAAAGCCAACATTAGTAAACACCATTCATTTACTTTTACCAATTTAAGGATAGTTCAGGCCCTTGAGAATGAGATTGCATAAGTTTTTGGAAATAAACACAAGGAAGGAATTCTTACCTTGAGGGAAAGAGGTTTGCAAAAAGAACTGATACTAAGTACTGAAAACAGAAAATCAAGATTAATAAGTGAGGAGTGTGTTCTTGCCATTCATGCAAATCATATAACTTTTTGATGGAGGCTTAGTACAATTACAATAAAGAAGACATTTATTTCCAACCTGACAAAAACTGCTAGTACAACTATGATGCCAGGCTTTAGTGATATTCTTTTTGAGCAAACTCTTTGTGGGATTTTTAATTTACGTTTATCACTGAACAGTAGATCCATGTACTTTATTAATTTTTTGCACTTTATTACTTTATCATTTTACATGAAAAAACCTCAACGGTTTTTATATAATACTTTTTGTTTAAAAGCAATTATTAAGCCTAGATATTTTGGGGGGGCAAAATTTACATGTAGAGGGGCAACAAAAGTCATAAACCCTTAAAAATTTGCATTAGTTCTCATATTGGACATATAGTACTCTAAGTAGGTAATACGTATTTGATTCACTACCCGGCAGCTGCTCATCCATAGTAGATTTTTATTCTTTTTTTTTAATGTAGCCTGCCAGAAACTCTTACCTTTTATTCATAACTGTCTGGGTGTGCCTTCCCCACTTGCATTGAACTGTATGTACTGTGTGCTGTAGAGGTGTGCAGTTAAAATACGTTTATTCTCAGAAATATTTTTAAAATATTTTAAAATGTTTTCCTTAGCAGAATCAGACACAAGTTTGGCAGAAGGAAGTGTCAGCTGCTTAGATGAAAGTCTTGGACATAACAGCAACATGGGCAGTGATTCAGGCACCATGGGAAGTGATTCAGGTACTGCCTAACTGTTGTGTAAACCTTAAAAAGTGTGAAATAAGACGCCATATAGTGGAAAGCATGGGGGCTGTTCATACCCTCCCTAATGTATTTATGCAATTAAAGCAATTCTTTTCTACAGTGAAGTCATTTTGGAACTTTGCCATTCACTTTCTTTAAAAGTACAACTTACAAAAGTCTTAGAACCAAACTCTCTAATTTTGATCCAGTACATATCTTTTTGGTCTGGCATATGTCACATTCCATCGAATCATGTCATCTATTTTATTTACAAGAACTGTTGCAATTAATTTGACTGCACTTAAATTCTGTAGCCAATTTCATGCTTATATTTATTCCCAAGCCCTACTTTTTAATTAAGATATATTTTAAGTAAAAAGTTCATACTACCAATAAGAGGAGAGTGACTACGGATAACTGCAAATTACAGAGACCCTCTTAAAATGAAGAACTAGAAATTACACATAGTTAAAAGAGTTCTAGTATGTATAAATATCTCTTGAACAGGAATAGAGTTTGAAAAATATTTTGGTCACTAAATGGAAACTTCACTGGCTGTTTCCCAAATTGCTCTTCATATTGGTTGTATATCCCAACAACAATAAATGAGAGTGCCTGTTCCAGATCCCCTTAACATTTCTATCACACACCTTCATTGATACTTCTTGCTATCAGATTTCCTAATTTATCAGTTTGGTAGATTTCAACTTGTTTCTTTCTGTTCTTTGAATGTGTTCTATGATTACTACTGAGCTAAAATGTTAACATCATTTAAGTATGGGTGATGGATTATTGGATGTGCTATACACCTTTCTATATTTGTTTATATGTTTTAAATATTTCATAGTCAAAATTAACAAATAACAAAAAAATATACTTTGCAATATGGCCAGCTAAGAAGCAGTGGAAAACTGACAAATTAAGAAACAAATTACTTTATTCTTCATTTGTTATTGAGTTGTTTCCACTTAGAAAGTATTGTATAATTCAGATTATTCTGTACTGTCAGAAGAATTATAGAAATTTAGAATCTACAATAGGCCTAAAAGGCCAAAATAGTTTATATAAAAATGGCTCTCTGCCCTAAAAGTTTTCCAAATTGAATTTGAACATCTCTTTTATTTATATATACTTTTCTCGCAATTACACTCTTAAATCCCTTAGTACAAGTTAGTTTGAGGAAGCCCAATTCACCAAATGTCAGTCAGAAATTTAATCTCAATTTAAAAGGGTTAATTCATTTTCTGCTCAGTTCGGTCAATGTTTAAGTTTTTGCCATGTGCTTATTTGTGTGAATTGTATTTGTGTTTTGTATTCTTGTCATAAAATTGTTAAATTTAATAATTAACATTTCTATTATATGCTATTGATGTTAGAACTCAAAATATACTCTAGCTAATATTTAACATCTTTATGGGTTGTTTTAAGTTTCTGGACCCCATCCTAATTTTTATTTGTCTAAGTAAGGGCTTTTCAATAATACTCACTCATTCAATAAATGTTTAATGTGCATCCTCTATGTGCAGAGCATTTTGCCTATTTAGAGCTGTTAGCAAATGTATTTGCTGATTTTTAGTCCTCAATGTGGCATGAAAGACACGATAAATCTGAATGCAACCTACTTTTGAAAAGCAAACACATTTTCTAAGGACCTCCCTTGAAATTCTAGATGGGTCACTACTTACAAACAAAGAATTGCTTTGGATAGTGGGTAGTAAAATTCTGAAATAATAAAATTATAAAATTTCTTACCTTCAGGTGCAGGATTTAACCTGAAATAGAAATCAATTCAAAAAAAAGTTTAAATAAATTGGTGAACTGTTAAACGCATGGTGGGTCACTGAAAAGCATTACAGTGATTGCAATTATATTTTAACCTTTGACGTTGACATCACAGGGGATGTTCTTCTACATGTTCTTCATCCTTCTTCAAAGGTCACACGATGGGCCATAAGGATCATGGGTGTGACCCAATACAATCACATTATCGTCCTTTTTGAAAGTATTATGCCATAGTAAAACATAATTACTGGTACTTTTAAATTTTAAATATTATAATTATGTTATGAAAGGCTATCTTTTTTTTTTTTCTGTTTCCCACTTTCAAAGAGGTAAACTGTTTCTCAAAAAGTGGCAATGTTTTTGGCAACACTCATTGGCCTGATATGTAGAAAGTGTTTCCTTACTATTAATATTTGTCCAGCTGGAATGGCGTATTTTTCTGTGGTTACATACACTATAGGTAAAGGAATACTTTGTCGATTTCAAACACATGCAGTGACAGACCTTTTCTCTCCAAGAATAACTCAGCTGTCAAAATCAATGTGAGAATTAAATTTGCCACATGGTGTAGTTCCAATAGAATATTATTATTTAAACCTTATTTCATTCCAGTTTTTGACCATATATATGGTATAATTTTAAAGTCTCCGATCAATATTTGTTGTAGAGGGAGGACACAGTGTTATTCAAAGACTGTGCATATTTTAAATACTGTTCTCATTATTGCTTTTAATTGATTACACTTTTCAGAGAGAGCCAGAAATAAACAACAACAAACAAACAAAACCCAAACATTTCTTTTATAAAAGAAATTGGCTCCTGGCTTACTGATACCAACCCAGTTCTCTCCTTCTGGTGCGGAGAAGAAAAAACTCTTTTTTCATGGCTTATGTGGATAAATTCTTTCATCCCTATGTCAGAAGATGTGATAAGGCAAGAATCAGGCTGAATATTTAGCACTCACCCAGCTCTTTTTCTTTGGATGTTATTCTCACATTGAATCCAACTTTAATTTTTTCCATATCCACTCTGCTTCTCTTTTAAACTTGGGGCTACCCTTCAAATCTCCTAGTCTTGACTCAAAAATGTGGAAGATTACTGTGCTATCTATTTAGCCAGATATTTTTAGTGGCAGCAGGACAGTGCCCTAGAATCTGAAGTCCTTGAGGACAAAGACTATATTCTTGGGAGTGCATGGTATGTAATAGGCACCCAGTAAATATTTACAGTGGAATGAATTAGTGGTACATGACTAGTTAAGTAGCTGTAAAACCTCATGGCTTTGTTTCTGCAGTTAAATTTTGAACATGATAGCCCCTTTAACATTCTAACTTTTCTTACATTTGTTAATGCAATAAATATCTAATGTGCAGGAGTAATATTGATATTTTACTCATTTAATGTGATTCTAGATTCCTGGGAAAGATACTTAAGAAGTTGCTATTTGTTTCTCTTTTTTAATTTTTGTTACCCAAAGACACAATAGTAATCATAAAAAACAAAAGGGGAAAATAATTATTAAAAAAGTGCATGCAACTATTATGAGGGAAGCAGCATCTTATTATTTTTTTAAGTCTATGCAAAAATGTACCTAGAGTGAAATTAAACAAAGAGAATTTGTTGGTATCTTTTAGCAAACTTCCTAGATCAAATAACAATTTAGCAAAAGATAATTCCTGGATCTTGGTTTAGACACTGCCTAAAATACATTTTTTTTTCAAATATTCTGTCTCTTTTAGTAACATTAGGTGATAAATGCTCTTATAAGTGAAGTATTAGGATTTTGATAATCTATAAAAGCCATTTAGTAGAGAAGTAATGTTGTTCTTAAATAAATCTGAACCTTACATAAATATAATAGAAGATGAATTATTATAAATAGTGTTCAAAACAAGCATGGAAAGAAAATTTGTAAATGTATATTTTAAGTGTGGGTGATTTTGAATGAGGTTTTTATGAAAAGTATATTAAATGAGTCAGCAAATGATCCAGTGATAGCTTAAATGTACTGCATCTGTCTTTTCTTATCCACATAGAAGGTAAATTTCCTGCCAGGTTGGTAGCTGATTCTAAGTGGTATTTGGTGTGAATTTTCCTACCTCTTTAGATAGTACTATCACAGCAAGTTAAAACCCACTTAAATAGAATCATCTAGTTGCCAAAATGGAGCCATCAGCAAGTTTTTTGAAGTTAATGGGATTATGTTAGTTTAGTTTTATTGCAATCATCGATAAGAGAAAGAACACATTGCATGTATGATGAAGTACTGATAAGTACTGTCATTTCATTTTTCTTGTGATTGTATAAAGCATAAGATGGGCTTTTAAATTGGTATGACATTTATTTTACTGCATATCATATGATAACGTATGCATTTTTAGATCTTTTCCTGGCTAATATAGATAAATATAATCACATAAATAATAGGAAATATGTCTAAATCAAGATATGTTATAAGAATTTTACTCTGATATTCATAAAAATGTATGCTAGTACCTACTTTATCAGTATTTTGAATTTAAAAATATATGTTAATTGGAAATATTTTTGATAATTGAGCTCTGGATTTCAGGAAAAGTATGAATATATGGAGACATACGAGGGTACTTCAAATAGTTCAAGGAAGATCAAATTAAAAGATAATACAAATATTTCCATCAACTTTTTGAAGACCCTCATAAGTTTATAAGGAAGTAATAAAGATCACAATTCAAAATTAAATGGCAAAATTAGTCACAATTTAGTTTAAGCCAACAAAATTATTTTTTACTTTTCAATGAAAACCTACCAGTTAAAGGATAATATGGGAAGAGGTTTTAAGAGAAATACCCTACTCCGTAAATACTGCTTCTGTACAACCTTGTTGCCTTAAATGGGAAAAGGGACCTATGCATGTGTGTGTATATATATTTTGGTATTTGGTTGCCAGACAAAGTTTTTACAAATGAAGGAAAACGGTATCAGCTGTAATAGCTTTTTCGCAATTAAAAAAATAAGAGGGAACACCAAACAAGGAGGATTAATGATTCCTACTTTCTCAACTCCTCTTGATTTTGCGGGTGGAAGGGCTAAGATAAACAAGTAGGACATGATGGCTCGACAAAGAGATGGAAAGTCTGATGCATTAACAACCATAACTGCCAATCTTGCACCACAGCCCTTTCTGTAGATCCCCCTTGGCTCTGCCACTCTGTGAAAACACTCCCTTACATTGCCCCCTCCCAGCTTCCGTCTTGTTAATTCAGTCCCTTGCACCCCCACGCCCCCTGCCACTTCCATGACAGAGCGCCAAGGTTGTATCCTGCAGATGCAGAGAGCTGACACACATTGGTACAGAAGATAGAAAATAGACTGGCTTGGACCACACGTGAAAAGGAATTTAACCACAAGAGGCCTGTGTTTAGTTTCAGGCTTCCTAGCCTTAGTTATTTTGTTGCCCTTTCTCTTATTTTTCTTCTTTTTAACTTCCTTCAGATGAAGAGAATGTGGCTGAAAGAGCATCCCCGGAGCCAGAACTGCAGCTCAGGCCTTACCAAATGGAAGTTGCCCAACCAGCCTTGGAAGGGAAAAATATCATCATATGCCTTCCTACAGGGAGCGGGAAAACCAGAGTGGCCGTTTACATTGCCAAGGATCATTTGGACAAGAAGAAAAAAGCAGCTGAGCCTAGAAAAGTTATAGTTCTTGTCAATAAGGTATTCAAACAATACATAATGTAACTGTTCATTTCCATTTTATTATTCTGAAGCTTTTATGTAATTACATTTGTAGCAATAAATCACCCAGATTCACTTTAATGAGGAGTAATGTCAAAGTAAGCCATTTATTTTATTCGCAATCCTTATTTTTCTACATATATGTAATATCTAAGTGATTAGCCTTAAAATTAAATTTTTCCATAAAACAGAACATTAAATCAAATAGCCGTAACTTATGCATAAAGGTTATATTTACCCAGATATTCTTTAAGGTTAACTGGTACTAATTTATCATTGCATGTGAACATGAATGACCCCAAAATATCAGTGGAATCTGGGATCACATATCATATTTTACAGTCTCTTTAATCACTGAACCTTAGTCAAAGATGGCAACTCCTCTTTATCCAGAATATATATAATGTGTTTTGAAGATAAAGAGAAACTTAAGTGACTATTTGATTTATCTGTATCAAGTTAAATAGATAAACAATATTCAAAGATTATATATGTATTATATATGTTACATTAAATGCAAATTAGGTTTCTCTTTGGTAATTCATATCTTGAGGTATCCAAAGACCATCTTCAGAAATAGGTATGTGTCTTCTTCACTGTAAAACCAAGTTTAGTTATTTGAGCTTTATTCAGATAAATGAGAGCTTATTCACTTATAAATTTGTAAATGACTACTAATGCTTCAGTAGATATTAGCTCTCTCTCCCGCTTCTTCCTCCTCACCTTTGTAACTAATGAAATTGAATACCTTAACCAGAGAACAAGATCTTAAGAACTCGGTCCAGAGAACAAAGTTAAATGGATTTGAAGCTACTTAAACTGATGTTTTTGATATCATTTGAATGGTCTTCTCTTTCCTCAAACTCAGCTTCACCATCTATCCTCCCAAAGGGTCTCTCCTTCCTTATTTATCTGTCTCTTTGTTAGTTACAACACTTCCTCCAAAGCATATAGCCTCAAAACCTAGAAATTATTTTTGATTAATCTACTTCCTTTATTTCCTTTATCTGGCCACAGGGTCATAGACTATTAGAGTTGGAAGGGACCTTCAAGATCCAACTTTCTTCCTTTGCAGCATGGTCCTCTCACTTCTGCTGGGTAACTTCTAATAAGAAAGTCCTCTGCTAACAAGTCAGCCCAAGTCATTCTTTGGACAACAGACGCTGTTTGGAAGCCCTACATGTATCTATCCAAATCTCTTTCTCTTCAATCCATAATCATCGGTTTGAGTTCTTTTCTCTGTGACTATGCAGAGAAAGTCCTAAATTTTCTGCCTTGTGACAGTCCTTCACATAGAGAAGGTAGCATCACGTGGCTCCTAAGTTACTTCTCTTTTTGTCCCATGGGATAAATACCTGCAGGTCCTTTGCCTATTCTTTATATAACATGGTTTCCAGAACTTTCATCATCCTAGGTGCTCATACTCTTCCAGAGATTTATCTAGGATCCTCTTAAAATGCAGCATCCACAGTTGGACAAAATAGAGATGGTCTTACCAGTGCAGAGTGTAGGAGAGATGAGATGTGACACTCACTCAGCCCATCACTGGGTTTGCCTTTAGCATCCACAGACTCATCTGGACCCTGCCGTAAACTCAAAATCCTCAATTCCCTTTCATTTGAAAATCTGTTAAACTAGAATTCTCTTAGTTTATTTTTGTGTAGTTAATTTTTCAGCTTAATGCAGATACTTATGTTTATCTCTTCATATCATTCAGGTTGATCAATTGTTTTAGGCTTCATGTTTTTGTGTGTTGAATGCACCTTCCTTTCTATAGTATTCCATTTTCCTCTTGATGCTTAATTCTAGTCAGGAATCTTTTGTCCCATTGGATCTAGGTGATTCATATGAATGCACATTTATGGCCATGTTTAAATGTTAATTTATCCTCATTAATTATTCACATTCACTGCATTGTGTGTACATTTTAGGACATGACCCTAATCCTTGATCTACTTCCCTATTGTTTTGATCCTCAGAATTACTAGGAATCCCTCCACTAGTTTTTCAATCTGTGTCATAATTGTTTACTTTACTATCTCATTTCTTTGAATTTAAAGTAATTTCACCTTTAATTTATTTTGATTGAGTCAGGAAATCTTCACCCCAGTAAGTCAACATAGCCTGCATTCTGTATTTGGCTCAAGAGCAAGGTATTGTGACACTTGATCTAGAAAAGAGAAATCCTGTTCCCTAACACCATTTACTTTCATCTCCTTTCCTCTGTCCTTTCCAAAGTTATAGCCTTCAAATGCAAAGAAAAATGAAAACACCACCTGTGTTCCCAGACTTTTCATTTCCTATCTAGGGCTTCAACATCATGAGAAATAAATCCCAGGTTCCTTCAGATGCTATAATGCAGCCACATATGATTCAGCAGAAGTGGGTAGCAGTTGGGTTTGATTAGTCTTGGCAGGCACTCTGTCACATCTCAGAAAAAAGGCTCCAAGAGGACCACACATGTCCCAATTAGACATGTCAAACTTGCATCTGGCTTTCTCTGTGTCCTTCGGTAGGAACTCAACGCCACCCAGAGTGAATGTCAGGATTTCCAACACCTGCTATCTCTTGTGACAACTTCTTTTTGTTCTGTAGATCAGAGGATGCTGCTTCTTTGGAAGGTTTGACTCATCTTTTGTGGGCAGAACCTCATGTTGCTATGTCACTACATGGTACAGAGGTTCTTAATGAAATCATTCAGCATGACTGTATTTAAAGACAAATAAAATGCATATGCTGTCCTCAAGGAATCTACAGTCTAGAAGAGATAAGAGATGTATGTTGATAGCATAATAATTAATATTTCATTGCACTTTATAAAGCACTCTCAAATATATTATCTCATTAAATCCACACAGCTACTCTATGAGATTGTCATTATTATCTCTGTTTAACCCATCAGACAGCTGAGGCTCCAAGACTTTAGCTGGCCTTTCAGGGATCATCCAGCCAATAAGCAGCAGAGATGAGATGTGAACCCTTATCTTCTAAAATCAACTGGTCTTCCCTTTCCATCATACTCCACTGCTAGGATAAAAGAATCAGTAAACTATCAGGGAAGTTTTCTGAGTACACTGACGATATGACAGCCTTTATTTCATTTAATTTTCACAAATCTATAATAGGTTAACATTATCCTCACTTTTTAATGTGGAAATTGAGATGATTGAGATGATTCAGATCTTGTTCAAGGTCACATAAAAAGCAAGTGGCTAGAGTAGCTGTTCTCAGGGCTGACTTTCTTCCCTCTGGATCATGCTTTTTTCACTACATTTAATTTCTTTCTTCCTCAGAATTTTTCTTTCTGACTTCCTTTGCAGATATTCCCTCTGTGTTGCACAGTGAGAGGGAAATAACACTTCTAGAAAAAGGAATCAGGAGTGGCTTTGTGGAAGAGAGAGAAAAAGAGCCATGGCTCTCAAATTTTAAAGCCTTAAATGTCACATGGGAGGCTTCATTAAAGTGAAGGCTTCAAGGCTCTGTCCCCAGAGATGGTCATTAGTTCCTGAGTGGGGCTCAGGAGTCTGCATTTTCCAAATCTCTCAGGTGATTTGTGGCAGGTAGACCAGAGAGACTTTCCTTTGAAGAAAAAAAAGAGAGAGAACAAAACACTCAATGAAAGTTTCTCTTCTTACTTTTTCCATCCTGTGGTAGTATTCTTTCAGTCACCAACCTTGATTATTGATTTTAAGTCTACTTTGCTTCCTTGGAATTCGTGGATTCTATTCTATCTCTTCCCTCTCACCCTGTCCTGCACCCCCCACCCTTAGAAGCCTGACATCCACTCTTAGAAGCCACCATCCACTCTTAGAAGCCACCATCCACTCTGACATCCACTCTTAGAAGCCTCCATCCACTCTTAGAAGCCACCATCCACTCTGACATCCACTCTTAGAAGCCTCCATCCACTCTTAGAATCCACCATCCACTCTGACATCCACTCTTAGAAGCCTCCATCATTTCCACTAAAAAGTAATGTGAAGCAGTGTTCTCCATATCCTGTTTTCCTCAGCCAAGGGTATCAGGCCATCCTTACTGAACACATAACGAGGCTCACCTCAAGTAACAAAAAGAATAACACATACCATGCAGACTACTGGAAAGGTAACCATTGATTGAATTATCAGGTAATCACATTATGAGAAATATGAGGGAACTAAGTTCATGGGCTGGCTGGTTAGCTCAGTTGGTTAGAGCATGGTGCTGATAACACCAAGATCCAGGGTTTGATCCCTGTACTGGCCAGCTGCACCCCCTACCAAAAAAAGAAACTTCATAGAAAGATTTGTGTATCTATTAATTCTGTTTGCCCATGAAATTTCTGAAATATCTTTGTATAATGTGCATTCATTGAGGCTTGCCCTTAAAACTCTTTCTGCCAACTCTCTAGTCACCACATTGTGCACTCCTGGGCTTGCCTTGTATAAATTCTTTTGGGACATGACCTTCAAGATAGCCTGTCTGGTCTTTCCCTAATCCAGGAGGTATTCTGAGAGATTAGTAATGTGTATCACTGAGGTATCAACCCAGCCACCCTTAGTAGACATTACAACACAGAGAGAGTCAACTGAAAAGGAACAAATGTTTCCACCTCTTTTTCCAAACCTATTTGCTGTTTTTTCCTTGCTCAGCCAACAAAGATGTTCCAGCAGTTCCTTTGTTCACTCTACATCCCTTCTCCTAGTCAATACCTTACTTCTCATTCTAAATTCTCTGCTCCTTCTGATACTCTAGGTATATAGCCTCTGGCCTGATCCCAAAACAAATGACAGGAATAAATCACCTCTATAGTACAGCTCATAAGACTCCCATGAACTGTTATATTAAATTTAAAATACTTTCCCTGATGTTTACAGCCCTTTATAGCCTGGACCTGTTCTATAAATTGAAAATGTATTTCTTATCCAAATTTAGTTTCAATTTATCTCTTTACTGACCCATGGTTTACTAGATTAAAATTCCTTCTAATCCCTTCTACTGAGAGGTCAGTTGCTTCTTCTTTACTGTCACTTTGTATGTGTTTCTGTTGGAGAGTTATTGCATTGTGTTACAATGATTTACTTTGTTTTATTTATTCCTGGTCCATGTGCTCAGCTGGACTGAGTCCCTCAGAGTTGTCAACCATATCTTAAACACCTTTGTGTTCCAGACACATAGTCTGCACCTAGTAAGTATGCAATAAATGCTTATTGACAGACAAATGCAAAGAATAATGGATAGGTTGTTATGCCTAAATAACTGATACTGTAAACACCTTTGTTAATGCCTGACACATAGTAGGCCTTGGATCAATACTCCTTTTGCTTTGACTATGCTTTTTCTCTCTCTTTGTTTAAATCTTCATGTTTTTTAAGGTACCATTAGTTGAACAGCTCTTCCGCAAAGAGTTCAATCCATTTTTGAAGAAATGGTATCGTGTTATTAGATTAAGTGGTGACACCCAACTGAAAATATCATTTCCAGAAGTTGTCAAATCCTATGATGTTATTATCAGTACAGCTCAAATCCTTGAAAACTCCCTTTTAAACTCAGAAAATGGAGAAGATGCTGGTGTCCTGTTGTCAGGTTGGTGGAAATGTTTATTTTTAGAAAAAAGAAGGATTAATAGTAATATTAATGATAGTAACAGAGCCTTATATTAGTTAATAGTTTTTAATGTTGATAAAAAAATTAACCATAGTTTAGATTGTCTTTCATTGCTTAAGTTTTCATTAAAACTCTTCTACACTTTGGGAGATGGGGGGATGATAAATTTTTAATTAGATTGCTCTTCTGCATAAGAATACCATTATTATATCAAGCACTCACTGACTTTCTATTTACTTCACACAAGTTCTTTTTGAGAGTGGATCCTGTTTGATATGCCTTCTCCATAGAATAGAGATACAATCTTTCTTATTTTGTGGAGTATGGAAGGAAAGGAAAGGAAGTAAAAATAATATAATAATTAAATGCAATTTTAAAACAAAGCAAAATTATTTCTTTAAATAGTGTGGTTTTCACTTTATATAACAAAAATAAAATTCACCAACCTAAAATTAAATATTTTATTAAAGAACAAAAGTGTAACCCTGAGAGTTTTTTTCGAACAAGTCGGGATGTAAATTCCACCCTTTAATAATTTTAGCTCTACAAACTTCCCAAATCTTGTCTATTAAATAGGGATAATATCTACCAGGGATAATTTCATTGTTAGTATACCTGAACTTTTGTATGTACAGATGCCTAGTGTAGTTAGATTGCCTCCTGAAAAGTGAGGGAGGGCTGCTCCACTCAAGCAAGAAAAGGCATCCCCAGCTCAACTCAGTAGCTTAAAAGTACTTCTCTCATTGCATAGCCTGCTAGTGTGGACAAATGAATCATTTGAATTTTTTTTAAGACTTTTCCCTCATTATCATTGATGAATGTCATCACACCAACAAAGAAGCCGTCTATAACAACATCATGAGGCGTTATTTAAAACAGAAGTTGAAAAACAGTAGACTCCAGAAAGAAAAGAAACCAGTGATTCCCCTACCTCAGATACTGGGACTAACAGCTTCACCTGGTGTTGGAGGAGCCAAAAAGCAAGCCAAAGCTGAAGAACACATTTTAAAAGTAAGTCATTAACTGTATGAATAATCAATAAAACCAAAGCTAAGACAAATGCCAGTGCTTCTGGGGCTTTTTAAGTAAGGTTGAGTTTAAGAGTTATGATCATCAGTTAAGTGAAATCTATTTGCTTTAACTACCATAAATATACTCGATCTTCTACAAAACAGTGGTATGACTTAATAAATAGCTATGACACAAAACAATATCATAAAAAATATGGAGAGTGGATAAAATTAATGAGAATTTGAGACAAATAGAATGCTTTCTTTTCAACATCTACTCCTACGGTTAAACTTAATGAATCTATTTGGTGTAGAAATATACAGAAACTACGAAAATTTCTAGTTTTCACACATGATAAAGTCTTACTCTGTGAGTTTCAAAACTGCATGTTTCTGTATCATTTCTGTTATGTATGCTTCTAAGAATCTGGATAATTCAAATTAAGAGGGAAATAGACATATTAATTAAAGATGAACTCATCAGCTGCTCCAAAGTGGTAACACTACATAAAGTACTACTGATGATCTCAGGTATTAAATGAATCAGAGTAGCCCACAAAGTATATTGGTACCAAGGCAGTGGCATTGGAATTTTAAGTCTCTTACTTTAAGTTGAATTTAGTAAAAATTATGTGGAATAGACACAACATTCAGAGATGTAATTATTGGCTCTAAAATATAATTTATTACTAGGATTAAGGACTCTACAGCCTGATAATGCAGGTGCATGGGCTAAGGCTACTCACAGCTTTGCACTGCCCTCTATGTTTTGAAGACGGTGGTCATATGGTTGACGGATGTCAGGAAGACCTTTAATGTGCCTCACATAATATGGTGATCTCAAGACCATTCTTTCTCAATCTCTGTAAGGTGCTATACTCTTTCCATGTCAATTTTTCCAGCTAGAAAATGGAATTTAAGAAATGAAAATAAACAAACCTTTTTCTGCAATTATCCACCAACTTGATTTAAAAACTTCTTTTTACTATATCAGGACAAATGTTATTGGTTATTGGGTAATCAGATCCACAATAAAACAATACTAAAATACTATATTTAGCAAGTAATGCTACATATTACTTACATGAAATTGTATGCTACTCTTATGCTACAAATTACATGCTACGTATTTCTTACATTAGAAAGAATTCTACGCTGAATCAATTGAGAGGAAGAACTTAATTACTTCATTATTGAAAAATGTCTCTTTTTCAGATATGTGCTAATCTTGATGCATTTACAATTAAAACCGTGAAAGAAAATCTAGATCAACTGAAAGACCAAATAAAGGAGCCATGCAAGAAGTTTGCAATTGCAGACGACACCAGAGAAGTATGTGCTGAGCATTTTATATCCATTTGATTGGCAATTCCATACTCAATTGAAAGATGGCAAGGGCTATTTTATACCAATCATCTAAACAACATTATTTAAACATTTTAGCAAACAGGTTATAGTTTTTTCTTTTTGATTGATATTAGACAGCAAAGCACTGCTGTGAATTCTCTCCTCCATTCTTTTTTTAGTTTTATAGTTTATATGAAAAGTAGCTCAGTAATTGTTTGGCTATGTATGAGCCACATGGGGTGGAGTTGATGAGAGGCGGTGAGGGTTGTATAGCAAGAGGGATGACAACAGTTCATTTTATTCATTTTTGCTTTCTTCATGCATTCCAGGATTGGTTTTCTGACAGTCCACAGAGCCATTTTGTTGCTACAGATTACAGTTGGCAATGATAATGAAAATCATACCTAATTTTCGTATTTTCATATTTACTTTCTTAGGAAATCACTGCTATGGTAAAGAAGTGAAATATTTACTCTAATGGTGCTTTTCTGATAAATATTTTAACTAATTATAAAAATCAACTGAGAGTCAATTTGAACATTTTGACCAGTAGATTATGTCAATACTTTCTTCTATAAAATTTAGAAAGCATGATACATTTTAGCATATGCACTTGATAATAAATTTAATCCTATAGAAAATCTACCTTATAAAGAAGTTGGGATTAAATGGTATGAGATATGTGCAGGAGATAATACAGTGCTGGAAATGTAGTAGGCACTCAACTCATGTTAGTGAACAACCTTCATAGATCACTTTTTTAATTCTGAAAAAACTACTCTCTATTCTATCTGCACTAGTACATTTGAATTATTTTATTCACTTTCACTTTTTTGCCACTTATTCAGTTTTAGCTGATAAGTTTAAGTGTATGTTTCTATTCATAATCATTAAAAAACCTCATTTCTCAGGATACTTTTTAAAAAGAATTTATCATTTTTTTTAACTTCCTTAACCTTTCAGCATGCTTTTATAGAAAATATAACGCACATACAGAAAAGTACAAATTCATCAGGGTTCTGATTGCTGAATTTTCATAAGCTGAACACACCTGTGTAGCCAAAATTCAAATCAAGAGACAGAACATGCCAGTACCCCACGCTCCCCTCCCCTTGCAGTCACCATGCTACCAGGAGAACTACTATCCTGACTTCTAAAACCAAAAATGAGTTGCGACTCATTTTGAACTTTATATAAAGAGTCATATACCATATACTCTTTTGTGTCTGGCTTTTTTCAAATCCTGCTGCAGCTTTTTATTTTGGTAGAAATAATACTGAAACCAGTTCTTCAAAGGGGAATGTTCTTAAATTAGATGGTAAGCTTTCTAAATAATTGTGGCATTAATTCAATACATGGGTTTTTAAAATTATCTTTAATGTTCAGGGTTTATATCATTTATTGACTTTACTTCTGTAAAACTGTTAAGCTGAAATTTCAGCAGGGATACATAGTGGTGGTGCAGGTGTGGCTTGATGGTGGAGATAAAAAAGAAGCTGAAAAAATAAATCTATGAAGAAGTAATCAGTGATTAACTTGTTCCTTTGTCTAGATAAAGATTCCAAATCAAATTTATTATAACATGGAGACTTTTAACAAAGATAACATTATTTCTTTAACAATACAAATGCATAATGATAAGTGTATAATTTATTTTTAGGATCCATTTAAGGAGAAACTTCTAGAAATAATGACAAAGATTCAAACTTATTGCCAAATGAGTCCAATGTCAGATTTTGGAACTCAACCCTATGAACAATGGGCCATTCAAATGGAAAAAAAAGGTAATTCGTGTTTTGATCTAATACTTAGTTTATTCCATGTCTATGCCAAGATTTCAGATGACTATATCACATAATCCTAAGGAAACTGAAAGCAAATAATATCAAATAGAATTTCTGTGTTCCAGGTAGGACAAGCATAAGTGTGTTCTAATTCTTTATCTAAGGAAAGAGGTATCTATTCATCCAATTTTCTCTTTATCTCCAGAGTCTTTCATTTATTGGAAGTATTAAAATAAATATTCACATCTCTGTCCCCAAAGGCAAACTCAGCTACTGTGTTTTTCATGCCATTTTCTTCAGGGATCAGGCACATGTTCTTTCTGATGCAGAGCTCAAGCAGCAAGTGGAAAAGTTGGAGAACTTGTCCCCTTTTAGAGCTCACACACATTTTCAGCCTTAACTTGCCCATTTCAAAACCAAGGTGAATCCGATTTTGGACTCAGTATCATAAATATACTCAAGTCCACAGCACAATTTTAGGGGGGTCGTACCCTTCTTTTTTCACTTACGTAGTATATTCTTTTATAGCTGCAAGAGAAGGAAATCGCAAAGACCGTGTTTGTGCAGAACATTTGAGGAAATACAATGAAGCCCTACAAATTAATGACACAATCCGAATGATTGATGCATATAATCACCTTGAAACTTTCTATAATGATGAGAAAGAGAAGAAGTTTGCAGTCCTAGAAGATGATAGTGATGAGAGTGGTGATGATGATTGTTCCAGTGATAAAGATGGGGATGATTTAAAGAAATCTTTGAAACTGGATAAGACAGATAGATTTCTCATAACTTTATTTTTTGGTAAGACTCAAAGTAACGTGTTGAATTGTCTCATGCATTTATCTCTTTGACATGAGCTTATCATTTCTCATAAACTCTCCAAATATCATTTCAAAAGAAGAAATCTCACACAGATTGGGGCTATTTCTAATTGGTGTGAACAGATTAGCTATAAGTTGTTATATAATCACAATTAAACATTTGGTCATTTAGTGTTATTGTCAGGATGATTACAATAAATTTATTTATTAAACTAGCCTGATTATTAGATATAACACAACATTAATTATAGAAGAGCCACATCTCAGTGTATCATTACATTAAGTCTGCTGGTGAAATTATTTGTATATTTTACTAATTTGGACTATTTTTAAAATAGTTTTTAAAAATTCATTGATTTATTTTATAATTGACAAATAAAAATTGTATATATTTATGGTATACAACATGATATTTCGATACATGTATATGTTGTGGAATGGCTAAACAAGCTAATTAACATATCCACTATAATTATTTCTTAAAGAAAACAAGAAAATATTGAAGACACTGGCTGAAAACCCAGAACATGAAAATGAAAAGCTGGCCAAATTAAGAAACACCATAATGGAACAATATACTAGGACTGAGGAATCAGCACGAGGAATAATTTTCACAAAAACACGACAGAGTGCATATGCCCTTTCCCAATGGATTACTGAAAATGAAAAATTTGCAGAAGTAGGAGTCAAAGCCCATCATCTGATTGGAGCTGGACACAGCAGTGAGTTTAAACCTATGACACAGGTATAAACATCCTTTTGGACTTCTCTTCTCAAATTGCATATAATCTTTTTCCGTCAATTCTCCCACCACCCCGCAAATACATTTACAGAATAAAACCTTGTCCTTGAAATGAAGTTTGAGTTTAATAGCAATTTAATCTGCAGTATTTGATAGGTTAATTGTTATCTTAAGAATTTTTTCTTTTTTTTTAACATACTTGGAGGGATATTCTTAGTTGAGATCCCCTTTCAAAAATGAGTGACATTTAAACTTAATAACGAAGTGGAGAAATAATTACAATATAATATCAATTGGAAAAATAAACCCCCCACAAAAATGTGTGCATTATAATTAGAACTATGCAAAATATGTTTACATAGGATGACACACGTGAGAAAACTTGAAAAAATTAAAGCATTTGATGTCTAATGAAATTCGAGGTTATGAGAGATTTTCTCATCCTTCTAAGGTTTTTGTGTGGCCGGTTGGTTTTGTTTTCTTCATTTTATTATGCTGCTTGTTGTGTGTGCAGTTAAAAAAAAAAGTAAAACAAAACAAAAAACACTTGGGAGAGAAAAAAAAGGCACTTGTAGACATTACAAAATGGGTGAAACAATAATGTCTTGTTAGAGTAAAATATTCTTCTGAAGGCTAAATTCATAATGACCTTGAATCTTACAGGACAAGGGAGTACTTCAATTCTGTTATGGTCATCATCATTCAGGCCAATGGAGCAAATTAAATTTGTTTTAGTGGAGCTGGCCAGTTAGCTCAGTTGGTTTAGCATGGTGCTGCTAACACCAAGGTCCAGGGTTAAATCCCTGTACCAGCCAAACCCCCCCACCCCCGCCCCAGAAAAAAAAAAAAAAAACTGAAAAAACCTGTTTCGGTGTTTGTTGAGAAAAAAATTATTGAAATTGTCCGCTATAACTCTCAATATACCTTCTACATGCACTTATGTTAGAGTTGCCTCTAAAATTTAGTGCCAGAGGAAGCACTGCTTTCCTTGGATAACAAGCTTGTATCCTCCATTTTGATGAGAAGTAGTTTACTTAATGCATTTTTCTTTTTGCCTTAGCTTCCAGGAAGCCCACAGGCAAAACTGAAGTTCAGTTTCACAGCCTCTGTGTTAATCCTTACAAGTAATACTCTATCAGTATGGGTTCTGTTTTTCAGTTTCTATTCTATTCTATTATTATATTGTATTGTATTATATTATATTATATTATATTATATATTATATATTATATTATATTTCTATTATATTAGCTTCAGTGTTATGATACTACATGCTTCAGTGTTGTAAGTGGCCTTAGATCCTCTTTGAAAAGAGGTGAGGTGCAAATGAAAAATATGTTTACAAGCTACTCTCTGTTCCTATCCATTTCAAACCTGGGAACTGTGTGCCAAAATGTCCAACATACTCCCTTCCTCCCTCCCGGCATCCTTACCTTGTAAACTGGGGTGAAGTTACTCATTAGGAGAGGAGTTAAGCATCTGTTTGATGTGATTTGATGATCTTTCATTGTGTCAGAAATTTTTATTATGAAAGGTAAAGGTACTCCTTTAAATTAAAGCACAGACATCTTTTGCTAAAATCCAAGGACATGTAAATTTTTATCAATGGATGTTACGGCAGAAGAGAGAAAATCAAAGACTCAAGAGGGGCCTTTCTACAGGGTTCTTTAGCAGTTAGGGGACAAATCAGGACTCATGCTGCCTCTGAGAAGAAAGGGAAGGGGATGGGAGAACACACTGTTGGTCTGGCAGGTTCCATTTTTACTTAACTTATGGGGGCAAAAGATATTGTGGAAGTGCACCAATGCCAACAGCTATGGTGACAGTAGATATGAAAATAAAACTACACTGGACATATTGGGCTAGGCTTATGCTCACCCAGTCTTCTTATGCAAGGGCCAAAGAGCACATTTTAATTTACTTATATTAACTTCCAAAATTCAGATTTTTTTCATTTAAAAATTGTTGTTTTATTATGTTTTTAATCACCTGTTCTACAATTTTATTTATATCATCCCTTTGAAAAGGTAATATATTTGCCTCACTCAAAATTATTAGGATACAGGGCATACCACTGTCCTCCAGTCTTCCAGCTCCCCTCTCTGGAGGCAGCCAGTGTTTTCAGTTTCTCACTTGTCCTTTAAGGAACATTCCATACGTTTCTTGCTTGAATGACTCTAAATGTGCATTTTCTCTGTGATTCAAAACTCAACAATCTATAAAAGTATCACTGAATCTTATTCTATGAATATTAAAGATTCTAAATTTAACATAGAAAAAAAAAGCCCATTGTACCTTCTCATTGCCATATCATTTTCTCCACCAACAGCATCTTCTCCTTTCTTCCTCCCAAGTTGCCCATTAGTTTATTTCCTTGGCATAAATGATGGTCTTCCCACCTCCAGACTGGAGGATGGAAATATTTTTGTTATCATGTGGTAATCCCAGATTGGAAATCAAATGTTGTATCACCATTATGTTTTTGCTCAATGCCAAAAACAGATGGCAGCAAATCCATGTATGATCTAATTCTTTGATTTACACTGACCAGTTGCAATTTATTATTTCTTGTACTAATTAGAAGATTTTAATGTGTTTAGCATCACAAAATTTAATTTATTAAAATGTTTCTACAGAATGAACAAAAAGAAGTCATTAGCAAATTTCGTACTGGAAAAATAAATCTGCTTATCGCTACCACAGTGGCAGAAGAAGGTCTGGATATCAAAGAATGTAATGTAGTTATCCGTTATGGTCTCGTCACTAATGAAATAGCCATGGTCCAGGTACATTCAGACATCTCCATCTAATACGTTGATTTTATTTCTGTGTTCCTATTTTAATTGCTTTCTGTCAGTAAACAGCATGAAATATCCCTTTAGTTTTAAATATTTATCCTTTTTCCTGCTAAAGCAGTATTCTTAAAGAGCTTGCATCACTGCCTTTTTATACTGCTGTAGTTTAATTCATGTGACAACCAGATACCTATTGTATTTTTAAACAACAACTCTTCTTTGGTTGTTATTTCTATACCCTTTCCAGGACCATGACACTGTCCTTATTTGTCAGAGTCAAAAGAGGCTTCCTCATTCCTAGGATGCCTCTGAGTCCCCAACTGGACCAGGAATCTGAAGCACACTGAACCACAAATGTCTGACAGAGTAACATGCCCATAGAAGGAGATGTTCAAGTTTCCATTCAAATTTTACTTTATCTCTTACCCACCTATGTTAACAGTATTACTGTTACTTTTTGTTGAGTACATACAGGAGTTAGGCTGACTAATAAATATAATACTCTTTCTAAAAGTTAACTAAAGGTTTGTTGTTGTTGTTGTTGTTGTTGTTGTTTAAATACTACAAATGGCATCCTTGGATGGAAGGCAAATCATAGAAGACTAAGATAACCAGACAACCATTAAATTAGGAAGTAATTTTATTCCAGGATGTATTTTTTCTTGAGGATAATATTATAGTTGATGGTTAGGCTTCTGGGCCAGGCCACAAAAGTTTCTATTATTCAGCACGTACCTGAATATCACTTTTTAAAGAGGCTTATAGAAATTTATCACCATGTTGAGCATGTTTCCATGGGAAAATGTGCTCAAAATCCAGTGTTGGATGCCAGAAACAGACCTGCACTCTCAAAAGCCCTGATGCCAAGAGATGCCCCTTCTCTGCATTCATTCCTCCTGCCAGACAGAGGATCCCCCAGTCCAAGTCACTGATCATGGTCCCCATGGTTTGAGAGAGGAGCTCTGGGGACAAAAAGGCTGGACAGGATGGTATTATGTTATTGAGGCCTTTGAGGCTGGTGTGGGGACCTAATCACCATCACTCTAAAACACTGTTTCTGTATTATAGCACATTTTAAGTTTCAAAGATCTGACTTACAAGAAATGGGTAATAACTAACTTTACTGAGAATAAAGAGATTACTTGAAGGCTGGGATGCTAAGCAATGAATGTCAGTCATTCCAGGCCCAAACCAGGCGAGTTTGTAGCAAGGCATAACTTTTCAATTGCTTGATTTCTTTATGTTCTCAGGCCCGTGGTCGAGCCAGAGCTGATGAGAGCACCTATGTCATAGTTGCCCACAGCGGTGCGGGAGTTATTGAACGTGAGACAGTTAATGATTTCCGAGAGAAGATGATGTATAAAGCAATACACCATGTTCAAAATATGAAACAAGAGGAGTATGCTCATAAGGTATTATTTTTGGCTACCTCCAAATTTAGTTTTTACTTTAAAATGGCTGCATGAGGTTGCCATTGATATCTCTGTGGCTAAGTCTCCAGACAGAAATTGTGTCGAATTATAAGTTCCAGTCTGTTGAGCTATGCTTTGTCCAGATTCACACCCAGAGATTCAAGATCCATGATGGGCAGGAAGTGTCAGGGAGCCATTGCTCATTCCAGTGAAACCAACCGTAAACTTTGGTAATGTAAATTTGGGTTTCCCTTGATCCACAACAGATCCACAACGCATCCATTTAACACAAACTGGTAATTTTGGTTTGGTCCAATCTGTTTGTACAGGCACAATTTTTTTATTCCAGAAATATTTATAAAATACCTACCATGTGCTATGGAATAGCAAACATGGAAGCAAACAACACAGGGAGCAGGAACCTCCCTGCATGAAGCTTATATTCTAGTGCGTGCCTGGTGAAGTTTGGAGAAAAGAAGTAATAAACAGATGTAAAAAAAAATAAGAAATGCATCATATAGATATAAATGTTAGAGAATTAGAAGAGGGTGATGTGAAACAAGTCCCTAGATGGATATTTTAGATTGGATGGTTGAGGAAGGTCTCTTAGAGGGAGTGACATTGAGGCTGAATCTGAACAATGAGAATGTACATAATATACTATCTAGCTGCAACTCAGTTTACTAACATAGAGTTATTTGAGTTGTGTGAAGGGATGCAGTGAAGGAAGAATGTATTTCTACAGTATTTCAGGAAATCCCCCATACCACTGAATTAAAGACTCAACTACTATAATAGCAAACAATCCATTTAGAAGAAAATTCACACCCTTGCATATGGGTGTGAATGTTAGTTTCTTAACATTGGAATTGGCTCTACCCTAAATAGCGTTTCATGAAAGGGATGCTTTCAAATTGGTGTGCATTGCTGTAACCAACTCCAAGGTTTCCTGGCCAGGTTTCTACGCAAATTTGTATTTTAAAACCCCTTTACATATAAGTGGAAGGCAAACCAAACATTTTGGAATGTCAAATCAAACTTGTGTTACCAAATAATGCCACTGGAAAGTTACTGCCTCATGTTTAATGTCCTAGGAGAATGACTCAAGTAGATATTTACAAAGGTTGATGTTTTAAGACTAGTCGTTTAGGGTAAACTCTAAGACAATCTCTCAAGTTTATGGGTAAACTTTTCCAAGCAATCTAGAAAAAGACACAGTCACTTTGGGAGTCCAGAATGGAAAACCTTTTTAGGTCTCCTTTGGCAAGACCTGCCATTCTAAAACTACTCCACATGAATTAATTCACAGCAGGAATAGCAGTGACGTGGGGTGCATGCCACCACTAATCTGTTCAGAGCCTCTTGCAAACATTGCTACTCAACACAGTGTTCAGGCAACCACTAATAAATGGTGAGAGTTGACATTTCGGGCGAAATCTATTTTCCATGTCATGTACAGAGTTTATACATAACTACAAATTTCTTAAAATCAAATAAGACTTCTGGGAGCAAATTGAGGATATTAGACATTTTTCCTTGCGTTGACCCAACAACGTTTGCTACATTATTACATTTTATTTTGACTAAGGCTGACTATAGCTGTGCCTTGCATGTATTCACTATGATTTCTTTTCTTTTTTTGTCCCTTTATTTCATATCCTTTTATTGTTTTAGGGCTATTCTTTCGGCTTCTGATATCCTGCTTACATATTTATCCACTAAACTTGGTTTTATTTATTTTTTTCTGTCTCACTCATAGGTATTTCTTAATTGCCCATGTGTAGGTAATCGTATGCTAGGTCACATTTTTATTAGCTCACTGAACTGAATGTCTTACAAGAGCAACCTGATTACACTTATAGTGAACAGAATATTCCAACTTATTATATTGTTATAATCTACATATGAATTTAGTCTTTGCAGTTGTCTGATTAAATTATTATACGTCCTAGAAGTTTGCTTGCAGGGTTTTGTTCTCTTTTCTTTGCTAAACATGGCTGCCTCAAATAGAGGCCTAAAATACAGAGGCAGAAGCCAAAAAGAAGGGCACTCTGCTTTGTTCATCAGTACTAATAATTTACTTTTACTGAAAACTTCCATCGGTCGTAAAAAAAACTACTGGCTTCCTTCACAATTTAGTATGAATCTCTCATTATAGATTATTTGGAGTTAAATTATTCAAGTACCAGGTTTTTCTGCTGTGAAGTTGTGTTGGTATGAACACTGGCCAGTGCCTATCTCAAGTTTCATATCTCTCATAAACAAGATTGTCTGGTATAAAATAAGTTTTGCTTCTACTCAGAGCATGGAATCGAGGGGTTTACAGCCATATTCTCCCATATAAGAAATACTGGGAATACAGGCTCCATAATGTCATGAGGGATCCAGACACCTTCTCTCTGTTCTCTGCCTTTATATTCTCAAGGCCAAAGATGGCTTCTAGAATTGCAAATGATACATCCTTATTCTAGGTAAGAAATAGGCAGATGGTAAGGGCAAAGAATGCACATGCTAACTACCTAATTTTTAAGAAGCTTTTCCGAAAATTCCACTCAACAACTTCTTACATCAAGTTGGCCACCGGCTTGGAAATGTAGTCATTTAGTTAGCATATTTCCACCCAGAATAAAATTATGGCTCTGCTGCTAGGGAAAATGGAAACTGAGTGGGAAACTAACAGTTTCTGTTACAAATAAGTTAAGAGGAGACTGATTAAGATGGCAAAAGTTCTGAAAATTACAACATGTGAGGAAAGATGAGAGGAACTGGGGGCTTAACCTGGATAAGAGGAGACCGTGGGTAATGGAACAGCAGTGCTTATTTCTTTCAAGAGATTCCATGCAGAGAAGTTTAGGCCTATTTTATGGGTCAGAATTAGTGAGGGGAAGCCGTAGGAAGAGTTTGCTTATTTTTTTTTTTTTTTTTTTGATAAATATTGCTGAAGACTTTCTCATAATAGAACTTTTCTAAAATTGAATGACCTGTTTTTTGAACACGTGAGAGTTTCACATTTCTATGATTACAGGAGAAGATTATATGCTAGATTCGGGGGGACATTCCCTCATTATTTTATCTCCTAGACAGTGAGATAAGTGTGTATATTCACAACTATCTAAGATCTCTGAATTCCAGGACTTCTATGGAAAAAAAAATGACTATTCCTTTTTCTGTGCAGATTTTGGAATTACAGTTACAAAGTATAATGGAAAAGAAAATGAAGATCAAGAGAAGTATCGCAAAATATTACAAGGACAACCCATCACTAATAACTTTCCTTTGCAAAAACTGCAGTGTGCTAGCCTGTTCTGGGGAAGATATCCATGTGATTGAGAAGATGCATCATGTCAACATGACACCAGCATTCAAGTGAGTTCATGAAGACCCATTTTTAAGTTTCTCTACAAAGGGTGAAACAGGTTGTATTATGAAGGTTCTTCTAGAATAACGCACACGAGAATCCGTTTTTTTTTTTTTACAACTCCCCTCCTTTAGCCCCCCAATTATAGTAAATATATTATATTCAAATGTCTATTTTTGAAATTAACTTCACTGGGGCAGGAAGGGAGAAGTATGAGACCCAAAGCCATTTTGATTCAAGGCACATGAATTGTGCATGTTCAGTATTGCTCTCAAACTTTTGAACAACTAGAGTCAAGTTTAAACAACCAATGGACTTCAAAGAAGTCACAAAAGGCAACATACTCCGTGAGAGGTATGTGTAGAAGGGGGCACCTGCCTGATTTGCCATGACAATCCTGGGAAGCAAGAGGGAGAGAAGGATCGAGATGTGGGACAGTGCATACTTGTGGATGAGCTTCAGGTCCAACAACAGGCACCCGTGGATTGCAGACAGGTATTTTGCCAATTCTCAGTGATGATTCTCGCTCCCTGATCTTTTTAGGGAACTCTACATTGTGAGAGAAAACAAAGCACTGCAAAAGAAGTTTGCTGACTATCAAACAAATGGCGAGATTATCTGCAAGTGTGGCCAGGTGAGTAAATTGCTACGGGCTCAGTTTTCACTCTGGCCAAAAGGAACATTTCATTGAATGTGCATTTAATTTTTCTTCTTGCTCTCTCTTTTGTTTTCCAGCCTTGGGGAACGATGATGGTGCACAAAGGCTTAGATTTGCCTTGTCTCAAAATAAGGAATTTTGTAGTAGTTTTCAAAAATAATTCACCAAAGAAACAATACAAAAAGTGGGTGGAATTACCTATCACATTTCCTGATCTTGACTATTCAGAATATTGTTTGTTTAGTGATGAGGATTAGCATTTGATTCAAGATTTTTAAAAAATATTAACATTTAATATGATTTTGATTAATGTTTTCATTATACTACAGAACTGATGTGAGAATTAATAAAATCATTGCTTTACTCTCCCTGCACTCTTTAAGGACACACAATATACCATGCTTTCAATTTCCCATCTTGCTGGTGGGTGGAGGTAAGGCAAATCTACCAATAATGTTCATTAGTGTGCAGCTTTATAGTCCTGTGGAGAGAATGCTGGAGTATAAATGAGAATCCAAGGTACCAATCTCAGTTCTGTCACTGATTTTCCAGTAAAATAAGGTAAATCAGTTCATCTTTCTGAACAAGTCTTCCTATTGGTGAAATGGCTATGACATTATCTGCCTTTGCTTTTCTAAGACTTCTATTTCTGTATAAAAAATTGCCACAAATTTATTGGCTTAAAACAACACATGTTTGTTATAGCACATGTTCTATAGGTCAGAGGTCTGGACAGGGTCCTCTGCTCAGGCTCTCACAAGGGTGTGAAGTCATGGGGTCAGCCAGACTATGTTCTCATCTGGAGGTACTAGGGAAGAATCCACTTTCAAGCTCATTCAAATTGTTGGCAGAACCCGTTTCCTTGCAGCTGTCTGACTAGGATTCTTGTTTTCTTTCTGGCTGTTTTCTGGGGATTGCTGTCAGCTGCTAGGAACACCTTTACTGCACAACCTGCTTATAGCCCTTTCCAAGCACAGATATTTGCTCCTTCAAAGCCAGCAAGAAATCACTCTCTCCAGTTTGCAAAGACAGAGTCTTATATAACTTAACTGTAATTGGAGGAGTGACTATCCCATCATGTCCATATATCCTGCCCACACTCAGGACAAGGGGATTATTCAGAGCAGCAGGTGGGAATCTTGGGGGCCATCTTAGAATTCTGCCTCCCACACAGCTTTCCCAGTCTTTGTGATTAAATGCCACATGTATCCATAGAAAAGCACTTTAAAAAATATAAAGCACCATAAAAGACATGGCATTATTAAGAAGCAGCATCAAGTAGTTTAAGGCTGGCTTACTTGGCCTTCTCCTCCACAAACATAACATTATGCTGGAAAACTACCTAATAACAGAGTAATGGGTAAATGATATTACCCGTGCCTATGGAGAGCAGCTTACCTTCCAGTCTAGGGTTTTGCACAGGGCACAGGACTTCACAGGGATCAGATACTAAATGTTATTAGAGAATAAAGAGCAAATGGCTGCCTCCACCCCTTCCCAGTCCCAGGAGGAAGAGTAACCTCTTGGTGGCTGTGACATTTTCTGTGCTTCTGAACAAAGTACTATCATTTGGAGATGGATACAGGGCCAAAAGTCTGCACTACAGAACATGCTTACAGTAGACAAACAGCCTCTTTTGGCATGGAAGAGCCACATGACTGAGACAAAAACCACAACTGACCAAGTCTCACAGATGGCTTGCTCCACGCAAACAGTTACTTCCTGTGACTAAAGAGAAACAAAATATTGGAGCAAGTGAAAAGAAAATTCTTCTGTAGCTCTGATGGGTTAATTGAGTTCAATATTAAAGAAGTCTTGAAACTTTTCCTGATAAGACCTAAGCAAAGAAGAATATTAACTAATTTGAGCTCTTGGGAATTCAAGAGGACAAAAGAAGATTGTAGTTTTCTTAAAATACTATAAAAAACTCAAGCTGATTCCATTAAAAGTATTGCTGTCTTCTAGAATGTTTTGGAAACTATGCAAGAAACCAAATGCATAAATAGCTAAATGTATTACTATAACATATGTAGACTGTTTTTGAGGTGTCAACAAATATCACGTTTTTCATCTATGTTTTCCAGTAATTTTTTCCAATATAAAAGTGTTATTTCTAATTTAAAGTTTTAAAATACATGTTTCAAATGGTATAAAACTTATTATGTGAGGGTACCTGCAACCTTGAACTGTGGTGCACATTTTTCTTTCAAAAAAAAAGCTATAATTGTTGTAGCATTTTACTTGATTGTTACTGAACAGTTTAATACTCATCATATTTTAGGTTCACTTACAGAATATGCTTATGATGTACACATCAGCCTGGGAGTTAGGGTGTCTGAGTTTTAGTCCCCATAAGACCTTCAATTGATTGGGTGACCTTGAACGACCTCATCTCACAGAGCCTGTATTTCTTCTCCTGTAAAATGAGAGGTTGGATTAAATGTTATCAAAGATCCCTTACAACTATGACATTCTCATAGTCCATGTTTCTGGCTTCCCTCCTGGCTGCTTTCATTTTAAGACCTTGCCTTAAATGACTGGTGGCAATATGAAGGGTAGGGTAAATACCTGCTGAGTACATTACACATTTGAATGAAGTTCATGTCTATTAAAAGGCATTGCAAGAATCTCACAAAACAGGTGCACTGGCTGTAGTCTGTGTCTCAAGGAAAGTTCAAAAGGCCCTAAAGTGTCAGGAAATTTTAGAACAAATGCTTCCACGTCAACAGAACATTGGTAGACCTTGTGGATACGGAATGTAAAGCACACACCCGAAAGTCTGAGGTCATTTTAGGCCATATGAAATTAAAACACAGTAATTTAGAGTTTGCACAAATAGTTTGAATGTAAGACATTAAGACAACAGAAACATGCATAAGAAATAGTTTCCCAAAGGAAGATTAGTGCATGTCACAAGTAATTGTTCAAAGTGAAAAGTGCTGTTACAGAGGTGAATATTTTCCTCTCTGCACTTTAATAGTCCCTATAGCAGAGCATTATGCCTTAGAGATAAGAACGTTTCTGGTGCTGTTTTCAATTCAATTGAACATAAAGCCAAGGAGGATTTGCAGTTTCTCTTTGTCATTGTTGCTTTTAACATATGAGAGACTCAAGCACACTTACGTGCTGATGGGGTAGAACAGCAGAGAGGGAGAAAATATCAGCATCGTCTACCTCCACAGTAAATTGTAATTGGATATTATTACTTTCTACCAGATGCTCTTGCTGCTATCTTTTCTGATTACCCTGATTCTTTCTAAAATGTGTGCCTTTGCACTGATTAGAAATTGTTCTCTGCCACCTACTCAGCAGATAACCTTTATGGTCTCCGAAAACAGAACCCAAATATCACTTCCCAGAATCTAGCACAATTCCCATTTTCAGAACTGGAATGGAGAGAACATGCAAGGAAAGTATTATGCTCACTCACCCTAAGCACAATCAAATGTTTGCCTCCAAAAACTAGTAAACAAGTACGTGAGTCATAACAATAAAGAAAAAATAAGAAAACTTTTTGTTTCTGCCTAAGGGTTAGGAAGTTGATTTGAAATGACTGTCAGCTTCTGTCTTGTTCAATTTGTGCATTTCTCCTTGATTAGTCTTACTAGATATAAGATTTTACATCTTTGTTTTTACAGGGAGAGCATGGAGTAAGACAGTGGGCTTGGATCCTCACTAGCTTTGTGACTTGGGCAAGCCACTTTATCTCTCTGAGACCACAGGAAATGAATACCAACCTTGAGAGACTGTCAGAAAAATTTGGATATTGCAGGGAACACATCTAGCAGTTAGCACTTAGCAGGAATTAATGTATAGAATACAGTAGCAGGAGTTTCCAGAACAGCAGCAGCAGTTGTAGTAAACTTAGCTATAGGATAATAATAATAGTAAATTTTAGATCTATGTTTAATGTTTAAGTAGGATATATACCAGATTGGAACCCTCTCATAACAATAGTTAGCTAGAGAGCTAATCCCAAGAAGTAAGTAGTTGCTGTAATGAAACATGATTGCTATAAATATGCTATTCAGCATAGATATGGGGAGGATTTAATATCCAAGTCTACTATGGGCATAACAGAAAGATAGGTATCAATATCAGTATAAACATCAACACATTTATTAAGTGGCTATAGGACTTAACTCAGTCTATTATATGGATACAATTTTAATTAGATCTTGTCTTGTCCAGAAAACATAATGCTGTTGTACTGATGCAGTCAGTAACTGCATGAAAGAGAGAGGGAGAGAGAGGGAGGGAGAGAGAGATTGGGTTGTAGTATGCCAAGAGTAATTTTGTTCAGCACAAATGATGGTTGTCTTTTATTAATGTCTAAATCTCTAAACTTTTTTCCCAGGTCATAGGTTATAAAATATAAAATGTATGTGGAAAGCATTGCACAGATTCTCTATAATTTTCAGAATTTTTCCATGTAGATTATTATCAAGTCCCTCTTTATATGAAATTATTTTATTAGCATCTCATTTGAAAATGAACTGTGAATAGTGGTGAGCTCTATTTATTGCTTCTTAAATTTTAAATCCAGGTTAAAGGCAAAATACTTAGATGGGGCCATGGGAAGAAGACTGTTTATAGAAAGTGATGTTTAACCATGTAGTTTTTAGAATACATTTGGGCCACAACTTAAGTTGAATATATCAGGTGAAGTATATTAATATTTTATATACTAATTTCAAAAAATATGTCAATACTTCTGAGGAAAAATTTAAGTGATTAATTGTTACATATATAAAACAATAATGAACCAAAGATGAGCATTTTTTCAATTTAAATGTCTCTTCCAGACCTTTATGAGCTTTATGTCCTTTATGAGCTTAGGTACACATAAGATGAGTGGACTGCTGAATGGTTAGTTCTTTCATTTTGAACCCCTTCATAGGCCATGGAAGTGATTTCATAATTTATCAATATGTAAGGATTTTTATACTACTAAAATAACCAAAATAACTGATATAACGTTATCTTAGACTGGTTTGCCCACCTCAGATATTAATCAATTCATTACCACACAAAGGTTTCTACTACTAAATTTACTCTTTTCCTTAGCATTTGATACTGACTTATGGTTTATGACTTGACTTTGCACAATTTTGTGCTAAATAACCTGCTGAGGTCAAAATTACAGCTTAATACAACTTTCAAAGGACTTATCTCATTTAACAAGTGAACCCCACCCAAATCTTTCCTTAAAACATTAATATTTCTTGTGTTTAATTAAACTAAATAGTTTTTTTGTTTGTTTGTTTGTTTTTTATTGGAAGTCACTAACTTTATGGGGGAAAATTAGTTAAGGCTTCCTGAACTTTGTAACAACTTAGTTTAGTGTTTTATTTTTATTACTTAATTTCGAGATAACATGCAAAACTCAAATAGCTACAATAACATTAGAAATGTTGCATTCCATGTGAAATGTGTTCCATGCAGGAGAAGAAAAAGAAGAGAAAGTAAAAGTAGAAAGGTAGTAAATAGAAACAAAATCAAACAGAGGCAAAGATAAAAAGATACACGCAGTAAAACATGTAGACAAAGAAGTGAGAATGGAGGAAGGGAAAGTAAATTTAACTGAGGGAGATACATAAATCTGACAATGACCAAATATTCCTTTATCTGTTTATCAAATATTTTTAAGTTCCTACTATTTGTAAGGAACTGTATTTTAGGCACAGAGAATAGTGAGTAAAAAAAGGATCTTGCCCACATGGCTTTCAGGATTTGTTACAGGTAATAGATACAATTTTAAGTATCGGTAATATATGGGAGTCAGTGATAAATGCCTTTAAGAGAGGAGAAAGAGAGATTACTTTCAACAGGGATGAATGAAAGAAGATCACATTGAATTGTGGACTGTCTAGGATATTTCTCAAAGTCTCTTTTGGGATTATCCCATCTTGGGGGTTATAGAGTCAAGAATGGATGTTGTGAAGGCCAGCCCATGGCTCACTCAGGAGAGCGTGGTGCTGACAACACCAAGGCCACGGGTTCGGATCCCATATAGGGATGGCCGGTTGGCTTACTTGGGAAAGTGTGGTGCTGACAACACCAAGTCAAGGGTTAAGATCCCCTTACCACTCATCTTTGAAAAAAAAAAAAGAAAAGAAAGAAAGAAAAGAATGGATGTTGTGGAGATAAGAAAAAAAGGAGAACATGTGACAACTCAAAAGCAATAATTTTTTCATCATGTATTGTTATGATAACCTCCCTTTGGAAAAGCAAAAGTCATTCCTGACTACATTTAGAATAAAATGGTTTAAAGTGTATAATTTGAGATAATTTTTTCACTGTGAGCCATGGGTAGATAAAATAATGTTTGATTTAAAAGATATTACTAAACCTTATTTACCTAAGTAATTATATAATAATTAAGCTTATATTAATAAGATTCAACACCTCTATGTTTGAGAAGAAAATAAACTAATGAAAGAGGATGACAACTTCTGACATAACCATTGTGGGAGAGGTTAGAATTCTTTGAATGAAGCCAGGGGTGGCAGGAAAACTGTGAGATGCCTGTGTCCTGATCACATCGATCCTCTTAAAAAATGAGATTCACCCTATTTTTCCAACATTCTCCTAGACAAAGCCTTCAGCAATAGGCCCAGTAGAGTCATCTTCTGGCCCATGTAAGGTCATTACCTCATAACCATTCAGAGGAAAAGAATGTCCAGACAATCATAGTTTTCTCTGGAACCAGGATAGAGTGATGGGCAGTTGGTGCCATGTACATCTTTGTTCACAGCATCCAATGATTAGTATCTAATGATACTTTAAATTTTCTAGGTATGTTTTATAATGAGTGCTCAGTTTGATTGAACAATGTGATTGGGGTAGGGAAAAGTGACCTATATCAAGCTAGCCTAGTAGATGTTCTTCAACAAAGAGTGAATTGGGAGGAAACGGATGTAATAAGCATGGGTGGTCTTTTAAATGGGCATTGTAAAAAGGAGGAAGAGAAAGATGGTGAGAACATTTTCAAAGGGGATTCAAAGTTTCAAGCCCATTTATAGGCCAAGAAGTAAGTTTCAAGAAACAAGGAGAGATTCAAGATGCAAGAGGGAGAGAAGAAGGTGTAACTGTTGACTCAAGATGCTAGGGGAGATGGAAG